CTTTTGAAAATTTAGGTCCTAAACTTTTTAATGAATTACCTCTGTCTGTTCGTTCTAGCCTTCAGTAGACATTTTTAAATCCAGACTGAAAACGCACTTATTTAAAAGTGCTTTTAATATTTGACTGATTGTTTATTGTATCAGCGCCTTTGATCTTCATATGTTGGAATTGTTGCGCTTAATTAAATAAAGTTATTATTATTATTTAATGTTCTTTATTGTTTATATTAGAAGTAAGTACAGAGGAAGTGAAATCCAGTTATCATCCACAAGAAGTTCCAGATACCACCCACTGCCATTAGAAAATGAAGTGCCTATGTATCTACCAAGAAAAATTTTGAACCTGGGAGATGTTTATTTTCAACCAATGTATGGGGAAGTGGACATAGTTGGTTTGGTAGTCTTTGTATCTGAACTTGCAGGGTAAGTTATCATGTCTTCTTATCAGTGTTGTCAATATCTACCAAAATAAAATGTGTATTCCTATACATCTTTCTCCTTACATTTGTAAGTAGATAACTTCAAATTAATTTTGTAATTCTTTGGTTAACACATTTACAGCTGCACAAATCTTATGCTCTTTAATGAAGGGCAACATTTGGTTGTCATTGGTATTACTAAATTAATGTGAAGGTTATGCGTGTTTGTCCAAATTATTGAAAAACAATAATCTCACCTCAATCTTAGGAAATTCACTAAACACAATAGGGCATTAAGTTCCTCAAATACAAGTGAAAAGGGAAGCCCACAAATACTGTAAAACACTTTAATATCATGTGAGACAAATTTTTGACAATCATGAAATTTTGTCTTCACAAATGCCATGAAATCCTGTAATGGGAAATATTTCTGGTAGTGAAAATTAAATAGATACTAGATAGATAGATAGATAACAGCTTTATTACAACCGTGTAGAAAATTTTACATTTCTAATTTGGTGTTTAAAATGTAATAAAGTTAATAATGAATAACTAAAAAAGTAAGTAGGCGAAAGTTGAGTAAATAAAAAGTTAAATAAGTGTGACTGAGTGTATTCTTTTGTTTGTTCATTTACTGTTACTCAAGTACACATAGAGGGCTATAATAGTATTTTTATCTTTTGATTGTAAGAT